CATATCTAAAGATATCAGGCTACTTTATCGCCAATATGCGGAATTTATTGCAGTTTAAGTCATTTTTACTTGATATGAGACGCTGAAAGCAGGTATTCCTATGTAATAACGTACACCGTACACAACAATAATAATAACATAGTGCACCATGATTAAAATATAAATATTAAGTAATGACTAATATAAAATATTATTCATTCAATTCTTTAGTTTTTACCGTTTACCCTGTTCGGAGTTTTGAACTTAGGATTCTAAAAATAAAGTTTCGAATAAGGTACCTCAGTAGTCGAGTAACGAGTACTCGAGTTACTATAGTTCGAGTGAAAAATCACTCGGTTACATAATCGATTATTATTTTAATAATCGAGATATCTCGATTATTATCAACAATCGAGTAACTCGATTATGTTCACTCGATTATGCCCATCACTAATTAATTTCTCGACTTTCGTCCGTCGCGGGTCGCGTAAATTATTAAATTCATACATGTAAATGGCGCCATGATATTCTTAATATCCTCGCGCCCCATGATCTACCGATTAAAATTTAAGTCACTGATTACCTAAATAAATGCATCAATATATACATCGTAGAGACTGTATTATAACATAGCTTGATTTGTAGTAATTGAATTATTACTTATATATAATATATTGCATTATTATATGTAATAATATATCTATAATAGTATATATTATATTCTTACTTCATAACAAATATATATTTTACCTAATTTTTAAAAATAATCTTAACTTATATTACCTAAATATTTAAATGAGGTATATCTGAATATACTTAAAATAACTTACTTTTAAAAAAACATAAGAAAAATAGTTAAATACTAATTGTCATTTATTAAAAATATGAAATAATAATTGATGAGAATCAAGATCACATTTTTTTAAAATTATTACTAGTTGTGTTCATAATTATTTTAATAAGACGTTCTGGCTCTTTAATGTCGGACTTCAACATTCTTATTGGATAAAGTGGTTGAATTATTTCAGGTAGCATACAATCCATATAAAACCTAAAATTATAAACAAATGAAAAATGTAGGTATTTACATAAAATATTATTAAGTTAGGTCAGATAATAAATTACATTTTTAACTTTTCTGCCATATTAGAAGTCCAAAATTCTGGTTCATAATAAATTTTTTCTATTGTAATCCAATTACTGGTATATATTACAAAATAGCATAATTTTCTGCGGGTGATATGCAACTGGCCCATTACTTGATAATAATAAATATTATCTTTTTTAAGTTTTGTACAATTATCTACTATGTTACAGTATGGCAACTATAAAGTTTAAAAAAATTAACATATGAAATTGTAATACTACAGGCTTTAAGTATACGCAATGATTATAATAATAATAAATATGTAAACAACATAACTTACTAATTTTTTGTTTATAGCATCTATTGCACTTGAAGTGTCTTTTGAAAATTCAATACAAAATTCTTCATGAGTTTTTCTACTTTTATCAAATAAAAAATTTCTACTGGAAAGTCATATTAAATTTTTATGATCATTTGAATTACAATATTAGATATTCACTCAATTTCAGTTGTACCGATATTCTTATTTTGTTGTTATTTAAAAACGAATAATTGTAGAAACTTGAAATTTACACCAAATATTTATTTCATCAATTCCTATACTTGAAAAATTTTTCAAAAAATTTCAACAATTTATAGACGTTTTAAATTTTCCGTTTTTTTAGTTTTTTATTCTATAAATATAAATAAAATTGTATTTGTTAGGTTGAAAAACTTGAAAATTTAATACAAGGTTCCTCATAAGTTAACCTTGCATGTATTATATTACTATTTACTATAAAAATATAACAAAAATCAAAATTCGTTTGATTGAAAATTGTTATTTTACCCGTGAATTTTGATTTCGTGAAAATTTAAACACTCGTAAAATTTTTTTAATTGAAAAATCATCAATTTTTTTTATAATTATTCTAAGCTCAACTTATGGACAACCTAGTATTAAATTTTCAATTCTTAGTTTTTAATAAAAAATTGTTTATACATTTACACAACTTATGTGGACCCTCCTATTAAATTTTCAAGTATTTTATCAACATTTATAAAAAAAAAATTTAAAAAAATTGATTATTTTAAATGCCTATAAATAGCTCAAAAAAGGTCAAAATAATTTGAAAATCAAATCATGTAAAGAAAATGGCAATCTAAATGACTGGTAAAATTTTCAAGTTTCTACGACTTATACTTTTTGATTAATAACAAATATCAAAAATCGTTTGAGGCTAAACTGTTATTTAACGCGGTTTTGTAAAAATTTAAATTTCAAACACTCCTAAAATTTTTTTGTCTTAGAAAGGTAGAGTTTTTTTTACAGATATTTAAAGAAAAACTTATGGAGAACCTTGTACCAAATTTTCAAAACTTAGTTATAAAAGGAAAAAAGTTTACGATTTTTCAACCACAAAATTACTTGCAAATTTTCGCAATTTTGACATATTTCGTATAAATTTGAACTTTAAGCACTTATAAAAAAAATTTGTGACGAACGATAAAAGATTTTTTTTTATCCCTTTGAGAACAACTTATAAGAAACCTTGTATTAAATTTTAAAGATTTTCTGGCCAACCAAAAATTGTTTATAGTTATTTAAAAAAAAAAAATACTTAGAAAAATTTAAAATTTAAATTGTCTATAAATATTTCAAAAAAAGTCAAAACACTTTGAAAATTTAACCCTGTATAGACAACGGTAATATAAACATTCGTTGAAAATTTCAAGTGCTTACAAAAATTATTTTTTGAGTTACAGTAAAATTAAATTTTCGTTTTTGTCAAAAATTGGTTTTGCGTAAAATTTCCCGTTTTTCCGTCACTTTTGATAGAGACTAGATTCACTTTCCTTTCAGAAACGGTACACAAAAAAAAAAACACACATCATTGTAAAATCAATACATTCATCACTCCGTTCAGAATCTAAAATAACAATTTTAGTTATATTATTGTTATTTGAAAATATTATTCGTGGGTACTTTAAATTGTATATACTACCTACTATGAATTACTTTGAGTGAGTTGGGTTATTGGGTAGGTACATAATGAATCTGATTTGATTAATTTGAAATTTATTGTATAGGTATCTAAATTTTTTTTTTTTGCATTAAATTCACATGCCTACTAGTATTTAATATTTATATTAGTATTGATTAATACTTATGATTGTATACTTACTCATATTGATGAAAATAAATTTAAATAATATTTTATTACCTTATTTACCTACATGAGTTTACATTTTCTATTTTTTATTTGTATTCAATTATTGAACAATTTAAAATATATAACATGTATAAATTAATAACTATAAATATTAAATAGTAAATATTAAATGTTACTTACGGTGTATTACGAATTTTTTTCATTCTTTTTTTCATGCATGTCTTACCTGATCGGGCACGCTTTTTTATAATGGCACGACATTTTATTGGCGACATTTTTCAACGAGAAAAAGAAATAGATGAAAAAGATAATACCAGTAAAACACTATACGTGATACGTGATACGTCTATAATTCTAGTACCCACTGGCCTAGTCAGTGATCGATAGTATAAATGTATAATATTATAATAATAATAATATAAAATGTCTTTCAACTTGTATTATTATAAATTATTATAGTACACAGACCCTCTCCTAGACGCTTTACTATTTATGTGTTTGTAGAATTGATTGTGTCTGTACAAATAATAATAATTTTCGGAAATATAATAATAAGTAATTCATTATTTCTATTTTGGTCATATCGTAATCGGCGCGATCGGTCTGGAAGGTCGCTGGCCGTCATAACTCGCACGCCACCAACGAATAATGGAGTGGGGATGAACGTTGCAATGCCGAACGCGGCCGTATAATAATATTATAATATGAGCGCAGCAAATATCCATCGAAATAATATTTATTTTTTTCTGTAAAACTGTTTTACGCGGGACAACTTTTCTCGCACCATATTTATAGTAGAAACTCCAAAATTTCTGTATATATAGTGTAGAATTATCTGTGCAACTACGTGCTTATAATTTAGATAATACAAATAGAAACAAAGTTATTTGCTTCCAAATATTTAATTTTTTTGATTTTTTGATTTACTTATAAAAAATGGTTGAACAGTGCTATCAAAAATTAGAGCACGTTGTTGCACAGATAATGTTCTTCTTTATGTGTTGTGAAAATTTGGTAGCTCTACAACAAATATGGTGCGAGAAAAGTTGTCCCGCGCAAAACACTTTTTATAATCAAATTACGGGTGGTGTAGCGTCCTCTTAATACTTTTTAAATACAGAGTGATGTGTATATATTAAACTGTTTTAACATTATGAGAATCTTACTTACTATAACATTTTTAAACAATTTAATTTTTCATCAACACATACATAGGTTAAATACATAGGTCTTAATAACATTTGGTTAAAATAAGACTAATATGCTTATAGTCAAAATATTTGGCTTCAATGCTTCCATATTAAAATTATACATATGAGTTATTATATACCTACTGATTTATGTTTCATTATAATACATACTTAATAACGTATGTCAAGTTTGGTTTAAAACTACAAATTGAGTTTATTATACAGTCCAAATATGAACTCATAATATACAAAACAATATATTAGGTTAGCTTTACTTTTTCAACAACACACATTATAATATTTATTATACAGTTTACAATATGTATACTGTTAGAAGAAATACAATATGTAATATTTTCATTTCAATATCTACGTAAGTCACTATATTATATTTTGCTAATAAATCAACTTTTAAATTATGCCACTATATACTGATTGAAAGATCATACAACAATATGAGTTTAATTTTTTAATGAATAATACTTAATGGTCCAATACTTTATAATTTGTAAATATTTGATTTACAATTATTCTTATGATACAATGAGAGTCAGCCTAAATGATTTGTTTTATTTTTTTTTTATTTTAACATCAATAGTTGTCTTGCCAGGGTACTTTACCAGCAGCACTTTGAAAAAAATCATCACAAAACTCATCTCTAATTTCTTGTGCAGCTAGTGATGGTTTTCTTCCAATTCTTGCTAATGGTGTTAAATTATTTTGATCTCTTCTCCATTGGCCAGGTATTATTGTCCCTCCATCTAAATCTTCTATATCAAAAATACCTGGTGGTGTATAACTTGTTCTAGATGAAAAACTTTTTCGCAAAAAGTTATGCAAATGGACACAGGTTAAGGTTATAATTGTTGCTTTTTTTGGTTCTAGAAGCATAGGTTTTCGTAAAACTCTAAAAGTTGCAGACACTATTCCGAATGAATTTTCAACCACTCTTCGGGTTCTACTTAAGCGGTAGTTAAATATTCTTTTTTTTGATCCTTTTTCTTGTGTGCCTGGATAAGGTTTCATGATATTTTTTTTCAAAGGAAAAGCATCATCAGCAACAAATGTATGTGGAATACATTTTTCCCTTCCCGGCAGGCACATGTCTTCTGGTAAATTTAATTTTTGATTTTCTAAAAAATGTTTGAATGTAGTGTTCGCAAACACGCCACCATCTGATATACGGCCCTGACATCCAACGTTGACGTATATAAAATTGTAATTGGCATCGACAACAGCAAATAAAACAATACTGAAAAATCCCTCGTAATTAATATATTCACTTCCTGTTTGAACCGGAGCTTGTAACATTATGTGTTTTCCGTCCATAGATCCAATGCAAAATGGAAAATTCCATTGGCAATTGAAATCATTGGCAATTAATTGCCATTCTTCTTTTGTTGTGGGCATCTTAAACAAATATAATTAATAACTAATATGATTGAACTAAAAAACTTCGAGAATATATAATAGTTCATTAAATTAACCATTTCTCATAAAAAACGTGTTCATATCTACCGATTTAAAAATATAAAAAATTCAAAATACAATATGTTAGCAATATTTTTTTTAGGCGTTTCAAGTTAGAATGTTGACAAAATCACGAAAATGTGCAAATTCTTTAGAGCTATAAATGCATAAACATTTTTATTTTCAAATCCAAGATTTAAAAATTGAATAGATGATCAATGTTAATTCACCCATAAATTAACTATTTCTTATTGAACGATTTTTTTATTTTGTTGTCATTCAAAAACATAGAAAAAAAAGGAAAAATTTAATAACATGCAAATAATTATCAACTAGTATATATTCGTATACTACAGATAAAATTAACTTATTCGAATTGTTTCAGATAGTGAATAATGAAATGTGTACTGCTGAAGAAAATGAACCTTTGGAAATTAACAACGAGGAAAATAACGTAAAAAACCAATATGAATGCCAGACAAATCCTGAAAATACAACAAATACTTCGGATGCATTGTTTATTACACCAAAATTACCAGTGCAGACAAATAATCAAAAAAGAAAAAAAAATCCAATGGCCGAAGAAGCGTATGAAGTGATGAAATCTTTGGTAAGCAAGCAAGGACAAAGAGATGAGTATCATGTATTTGGAGAACACGTTGGTTTTAAAATAAGAAAATTACGTACAAACTATGCTAAAAGTACTGTAGAATATTTAATTAACAACATATTGTATGAAGCAGAAACTGGGAAGTATGATTTCCCCCCTCAGCAGCAGTACCAATATTTTCAACAACCGTACAACCAAAGTCAGTCTGTAAGTGTGCCATATCAAAGCTCTAATATTCCTTCTTCACCAGCAAGTTCAACTATTACAAGCCTTGCTTCACCAACACCTACAACACCGGCACCATCATTCATTGACGAAGATAGTTTCGATGAAGTATTACATTCTATTTAAAAAAAGTTATTATTTTCTGATTATATGTTTTTATTATTTTTCAACACAAAAGAGGTTTTTGCTATTGTTTTTTTTTTTAATCATAAAAGTATATGAAATTGATTTATAATAAAATTAATATTATGTTTTCATTTACCTACATAGTTTTGTCATTTTGTTTAGAAAAAAAATATTTTCCCTTTGAAATCACAATTAAAAAAAGATGGTCTGTCAGTATAAAATATTAATAAATATTATATGATATATTTATTTGCTATAAAAATAATTTATTTCAGTATTGTCTATCTACAGTAGATTGAATTAATTTTTGCCAAAAATATTGCATTTAAAAATGTTATTGTAAGTATATTGTATAATATAATTTAAAAAATTCAAGTATAATTGAACAATATTTTTAAATTACAGCAAAATAACAAAAATTAAATTGTTTGTTAAAATATTGAATTTCATCCTATTTTTAAATTAAAATGTCTATAAAAATAGGTGTAAAGAAAATGTTTATGTAAACAAATAATAAATATATAAGTAATTTATTATTATTTAAATAACTATTAGTAATATATTTATGCTTTTACCTTTAAATAATTCTTCAAAGCGTCAATCAATGCTGCACAAACTTCGGGAACAATAAGAGAGATGCTTTGTTTAGACATTTTAAAAGTATACATCAAACTGTGATAAGAATCACCGGTGGCTAAGAAACTCAGTGCTACTGCTAATCTTTCGTTCACTGGTATAGCGTCTCTATAATTTGTGTTTTTTTTACCGATTCGGTGACCGACAAGATTGATCAAAAACTCAAAATCTGCACTTGACATACGTAGGACATTTTTGAAACTACCATTACACCTATTTAAAAATTAATAATTTAGTAAAATAGATTATACCTATGTACCTACATAGTTTTAGATATAAATATAAAACGGTACTATAGCATACCTCAACTCTCCAGATAGATTAATGTCATCACGTTGAAGGTCAACCATTAAATCACTACCACTATATTGTTTCCTTGTTAAAAGACTTGGACGAACCCAAAATCTTTTTTTTGGTTTTTTTGATTTTAAACTTAAAATTACGCAAGCAGCAGCAGCAGCGATCGCAACGTCCTCCTCAAACCACATTTTGATAAAGACTAAATGTCGATTGTCATACATTTGTTTCCGACAATTAATGTTTCTTTTGTCTGGACGCGTATGTTTTTAATTTTTGTCAGTAACTTTGTCGGTAACTTTTTGTCATATTTTGTCGACCACAATGTTTTTTGTTTTGTTTCTTGGTCTGGACACGGCTTAACAATTGCCCCTGCAATATATTCTATTATGTCATGTGTTATATGGTTATTAATGTTATCCACAATATTGTCACAATAATCGTATTCCATTTTTCAGTGTTTTCTCCACATAATATATCTATATAATCTTCTCGGTTTTCTTTTTTTTTTGAGCTCGAAACATGTAATATTGTTGTTGCGTCTTGGGGTAAACAATTTGCTCCAGAAGAAGTCATTATTTCTGTGTGTACCAATATTCTCTTCATTGATGCTTCAACTTGGGTTGCTGTCGGATTATTATTAAACCCATTACGGGCTCGTATAGCAGAGAAAAGAATCTCTAAATGGTCCTGTGAAAGTTTATATGTCAATAGAAATTTGAACTTTCCACTTGCAACAAGTTCATCCAATAATTGTTTAACACTTGTTAAACATATAATCAATCCCATGAATCCAGTTTTTCTAGAACTTAGTAATATTGGTTTATCTTTTAGGCTTTGTAAATATTGTATAGAATCGGATATAAACTTATGACAAAATTCTATATCTTTTAGAAACAATGGTTTTTTATATGGTGACTTGCTAAGAAAATTGCGTGCATTTAAAAAATCAAATATGTGATCTATTTGTCGTCAAAATGTAATGGTTGAATCACAATCTGCAAATGATGACATATTCAATACCTCCGAACAATATTGGAACGCATGGGCTACACTAGAGCTAAGAGTCTGAGCAGCGAGTGAGACTTTCATTTTTTCCTTGTAATATAGTATATGTCGTTTTCGTATATTTGTCCCTAAATGTAGGCCAATGTTCTCTTGTACACTCACTAGCTCTTTGAAATACTGCCATTTAATAGGTAAATCATTTTCGTCATATAATAATTTATGGTCCCCTAATGTATTCCTACAGAGTTTTAACATATGTGCTGCATCTAACATTATAAATATTTTTTCTTTTGTAATTGGATGGTTAAAATAACTTTGTAGGTTTGAAAATTGTAAATTTGCTCCTAATTCTCGAGCCATTGACATATTTGAGGCTGCTCCATCAAATGTTAATGATTTTGTCTCTCGTCTAACAAAATATGAGTAATATAGAACATTTTATGATCAGCAGAGCACGTTTAGCTACAATAGTTTAAAAATTAGAGTGAATTGGCCTCTTAAAATTTAAAGGTAAGATTATTATCTTGGCATTTTCAGAGGCTTTTCATCATATTTTAATTTGAAAGTGAGTATTTTAAAATTGTAAATCTTTTGTACACCTTAAAATACTACTAACTCGCTTAAAATAAAAATATAATATAAAGCCTATGACATGCTGAGCGTACACACTTGTAAGACGGAGACAACACTTGCGGGTGCCACTTCCTTTTATTATTTATTTGTAGTTTTTACCTTAATTACTGAATAACAGTTGTCTGAAATATAATTTTTATTTTTAAGGTGATTGATTAGTTGTCTATAATTTTTATTTTTAAGGCGATCGATTAGTTGTCTATAATTTTTAATTTTATTTAAAAGTCTTTTATTCTTTTTCTTTGTTAAAAGAATTTCTCTTTTATACTTTTTAATTGTATTTTGTGACTCTGACCAATACCGTAACCGCTTTCTTGGACTATTTAAATCCCGGACATCAAAATCACCAATAAAACATTTTCTTTTTCTAAAATAAAACAAATTATAATTTATTATAATCCTATAAAATATTTAATAAAGGTTGATGAATGTACAATTTCTCAATTTCTGACAACCAGTTAGCTTGGTTACACAAGAACAAATTATATGAACACAAAATTATAACTTACCGAGGTGAACAGGATTTCTTAATAACTGAAAAATCTTGTTTTACATCCGTTTTTAATGGTGATTTTAAACTATCTAATAAAAATTAAAAAATAATAAAAATTAATTTTAAATATTTATGGAAAACTAATCAAAAAATATACTGGATTGATTATGGTTACTTTTCATCAACTGTAATGGATAACATTCCAACTCTTCTGCTAGATTCTTACTAGTATTTGGATCACTATCATTATTGTCCTCAACAATTGTAGAAGGCAGCAACGTTATAACCTCACCTATATGTTTATACTCAAAATATTAAAACCAAAAATCATGTGTCTAAACAGATACTAATTTTTCATGTTCTACTAAAATGACTTACTAAAAACAGATGGAACAGCAGTTTTTTTTAGTAGGTTGTTTAACTCATAGTCTGTTGATAAAAAATGACATTGACAAACGTAATGGGATTTCTTCATTATATATGACGGTTGAAAGTTTTGAATTGATTTGACCCATAGTGTTTGACGATTTTTATCAAGTGGAAATCTAAGAAAAATAAAAGGGTTACAATTAAAATTTATAAGAGTATAATACTTACTTATGCAACTTTAGTTTGGATCCTTTATTTCCTTTGGACTCGCAGAAAGGAATACAGCAACTCCAAACCATTGTAAAATTCGTCAGCAATTAGAGCAATACAATTAACTAAATTTTTTTGAAAAATGTTGAATACTCAAAGTCAAACTACCAAAAAGTCGATTAGTCAACAGTCGTCACTCGTTGAAAATTGAAAAGTAAATTTTAGCGGCAAATAGCAGGCTGATATCGATGCCTGTACCGGCTCTTATCATACATTTCAGCCTGGAAGAAAAATTATTTTAAGAATATTTTCTTCCAAAAAGGAGTACCTACATCTTTTATCTCATTCTTAACCGCGGTTTCTCTTTCTACGCTCAGTCCATTTATAATAGGTCAATGTCCGGATACGATACTGTTACTAGATGAAAAGCTGCATTCGGCTCTCGGGAATGCCGAATGATACAGTAGCTGTTATTCTTTGGCATATTAATGTTAGTGTTCCTGTAATCCTGTTATTATTTTATTAACTCGATATTTAACGATGAATATTCATTATTATTTCTAGCGTGGGGAGTATTTAAACTTAAGTTACAATTAACTGTAACAAAATAACTTTTTATGTAATTTGATGGTAGGTAATTAAATTAATTTTGTTGTAAGTCTACGTAATTTAAGTAACTTTTTTGTATGAAAATTTACTAAACTACTCGTTACATTTTTTTGTTTAATACATTTTCAGATCTTATTAATAATGTATGTAATTAAATCATATAAGGATAAATGTCCTGACATATATTTTTGTAATTGCTATTATTGTATACAATATATATATTATATAAATCAAGTTTATACTCTTAATTGAGTTTTTATTGTTATACTATGTTATATCATTACTGTGGAGTTCTGGAAAATTTGTTTAAGATAAATAAATAATTTATACAATTATATTATACTCTAGTTTTTTGTATTCCTTTAATCCTTTATTTTCAATATTGTCTTATAGTATTAATTTACTAAAACCTCGGTTCCTCATGAAAATTCAAAAAGAATATTTTGTAAAATAAACATACTAGTATTATAATATATTGTATACTATTATGTAAAAATAAATACAAGAAAAATCTGAGACTTCACATAATTGGTTAAAAAAGCTTGTTATAATATTTATATAGATGAAAAGTTTATTAAATAATTTTACATCGTAAGAAAATATTAATTACAACTAAATCAAGGTATTATAAATATCTAGAATTTAGATAAAAATAATAATATAAATATTTCAAAATGAAAATAACAGGAATAGATCTACATAATTGTTATGTATGTACATTGTACGGTGTGTCTGTTACTCCGATACGTTATCTGTAACGATAAATATATATATATATAACTATATGTGATTATTATGTGGGTCCGCCGTTGTGCGTAATAATAAAATAAACAGTCGTACCAG